AGTCAAGCTTTGTATTGGTAAAGATGGAGTAAAGAATATTTTCCAGAAAAGAAATGAAAAACTGATTCGAAATTTTGCAAGACGATGGAAAACGCGTCGAACGTGACCCACTCTTCAACAACGGTCTCAAAACAGACAAGTACAAGTACACTTCTAATAATTCAGATACTATGTTATAGTGCCATCATTGCCGTTGGTACGTTTGGTAACATACTGATTTTCGTATCGATTGGAACCAAAACGAAACGTAAAATCAGCGATTATTTTATCTTAAACTTAACCATTACGGATCTACTATGTTGCGTTGTAAGTATTCCGTTTGATATAATGGAACTAGTATTAGGGTATTGGCCACTAGGCTTATTAATGTGTAAGATAGTATACCCACTGCAAACCGTCTTGATGGCAGTGTCTGTTGTGACATTACTGTTCATGGCACTGGAACGTCACCGTGCCATTATTTATCCGTTAAAGCCCAAGATACGTGGACGATACGTAATACTGACYATTATTATACTATGGATTACAGCCTTTGCGCTTGTCACGCCGTATATAAACACGCTAGGTCTTCATGGATCACATTGTATAGAGAACTGGCCAGGGAAGTCTCACGCAAAGGCGTTTACGCTTTGCGTATTTGTTTTACTTTACGTAACTCCTTTGAGCATCATCCTTGCMGTCTTCATACGAGTTGCCTTACGGTTACGTAACAGCAATTACACGATAACGAGAGCATTTGGAAATACAATGATTGGGCGTCAAATGTGCGAAAAGCGCTCCAAGAGAAATGTACGAGTGCTGAAAATTTTCGTAAGTGCCGTCGTTGCGTTTGCAGTTTGCTTCCTACCGTTCCAAGTCATGTGGTTATGGAATGATTTTGGAGACGCAAAAAATCATAAATACTTGAACGATATATTCACGTTCTCGTATATAATGGTGTACAGTAACAGCGCTATCAATCCGTTTATATTTAGCGCGTTGAGCCAAAAGTTCCGCAGCTTCATACGTAGATCAATCTCGCGTAAACGTACAAGCATACAGCCGTCTTACGTAAACCGCAGACCGTCTTTAGGGGCAATTCTGAAAAGTTCTTTTCATAACAGACGAAGTAGAACAAGCGCAAGAATTCACTTCAATGAAGACTTAGAAACTCCAATGAAATCACTTGTCCATGAGACTATTATTATGATATCA